ACCTGCAATTTCTACTCCTCTGATAGACCCTTGAGGCTCTGCATTGAAATATCCCAAAACGTTAATCTTCTTCATTACCTGTCACCATTTTCTGTCGGTTTCTCTTAACTTTAACTTTGCCGTGATCAATAAATGTCTTCTCTATCTTTTGAAACTTGAGTTTCGTAAGAGGAGTTAAATAAGGATACCTCCACTGAAAAAAATGTAATGTAAGGTAATGAAATGCTGTTCATAAATCAAAATTACCTTTCATCAATATTATGAATTCATATTCATCCAGATAATGAATGTCGCATCCTTCAATTAATGTAAAATGGTAATTATCACAATCAAATTTTCATTAAAATGATGATTTTTTTCTTTGACTGCCAAGACGATTTTTGGGTTATGTTGTTCTGGGCCAGATATTTTTTTTCATTTAAATTTTGTTCTATCAGCTTTTATAAACATTTATAAACCTATATGAAATAAAAATTAAGTATTTTGCTTAATTCTGTTTTTTTCAGAGAGGGTATCGCTAACGATACACGTGGCCTGAGCTGGTAATTTCTCACTCTAGGCCAGCTGTATCCCTAGCGATACACCATTTTAATTTTCTTTTTTTGTTGCAGGTTGAAACATTTCGAAAGTGCTAATAGTGAAACATTTCGAAAGGTTTAAAAGTAAAACGGGCAAAAACAATGGCAAGGAGATATCTTACGAATGATGAGTTAGCTGCAGCTCATGACGAAGATGATGATGATTATGTAAATATGAGTGATGAAAACAGTGATTCAGGGGATGATCCAAATTACGATCCCTCTGATAGTGATAGTGATATTTCAAGCCGAAATTCAACACCTACACCCCCTGTTGCTACTATTAGAACTACGCCTACACAAAATAATATTGCGCCAATACAAACAACAATGCAGGCAGCTGCGATTCCTACTACAGCAGATGACTTTGATAACATTGTTTGGACTGATCCTGTAGGTAGACAAAAACATTTTTTGTTTACTGGTACATGTGGCATGAATCCAATCATTTCGGGAATATTGGCGCTTGCCAATAGAATATTTTTCACTTTTTTTAACCAATGAAATTATACAAATAATGGTCGATGAAACGAATTTATATGCAACTCAATCAATTTTAAAAGAAGAAGATATTCCTCCTTCTTCACGAATACATCGTTGGACACCGACGTGATTGAAATGAAACAGTTCATAGGATTGCTTGGATGGATGGGCATTGTAAAAGTTCCAAAACTTAGTAATTATTGGTCAACAAGTAAAATATTTTCATTTAATTTGCCAAAAAACACCATGTCACGAAATCGCTTTGAACTGCTTCTGAGATTCTGGCATTTTGCTGATAATGAGAAAGCGATTCCTGGAAATCGTACTTATAAATTAGATACTATATTTGAGAAATTTGTAGCAAACTTTAAAAGCTCTTATACGCCAGGAGAAAAGGTTTGTATTGATGAAACTATGGTCCCCTTTAGAGGGCGCCTAAGTTTTCGTCAATACATTCCTTCAAAGAGACACCGATACAAAGCTATATAAACTATGCACCGAAAAAGGATACACCTGGAATGTCTCAATTTATGTTGGTAGAGACCTAAATATTGATCGGACGCAAACTGCTTCTCAAAATGTTACCTTAAACCTCATAAAGGATTTATTGGGGGAAGGAAGAACACTATATGTTGATAATTTCTATACCAGTGTGCCACTAGCTTTCAAACTTCTTCAACAAAACACACATCTCGTAGGCACCTTGCGCTCCAACAGAAAATATATTCCGCAAGAGATAAGGAATGCAAACTTAGCAAAAGGTGCAATTATCGCTAGAGTCTCCAGAAGGAATAACGGTCTTGAAGTGGCGAGACAAGAGGGATGTACGAATGCTATCTACATGTCATTTGGGAACAGAAACTGTTGTCACTAAAAATAAACATCTGATTGAAAAAATTAAGCCAAAATGTATAGTAGATTATGACGGGGGCAAATCTCCTGTTGACGTCAGCGATCAATTAGCTTCATATAACACCGCTCTTAGAAGATGCAATAAGTGGTATCGCAAGTTGATGATTGAAGTTATTTGGGGTACGGCACTTGACACTACTTTTAGACAAAAGGTCGTTGTCTCACTACTAGAAGAGACAGTGGTCACAAATATACCCGCAAGGAGACGCAGTGCAAATGTCGTTCATCACTTGGTTACGCACGAACAGAAAAAGAGAGCTAGATGTGCTAGCTGCTATAACTTATATGGCAAAAAAGGAAAGATGGTTGATGGGGTAAAGAAGATGCCATCTCAAGTTATCACTATTTGTGATAAGTGTGAGGGAAACCACCATTTCTGCAAAATTTGTTTCAATAAAGAGCATTAAAAATGTGTAAAAACAAAACATTTCTTAGAGTTTGTTTTTAGTTCATATTATGTTTTTGTTTGTACTAAACGTATTTTTATATTTTTTTGTTTATAACTTGTTTATAATAAAATAAACCAAAAAAAGTTCAGTTATCAGGCCATGCCTGGGCCCATATATTATCCTCAGGCCAAAGTTCTATATGCCAGTATATTTGTATAGGCCAAGACTCCCAAACTGCAATGATAAAGTATAGGATCTGTGTTCCTTAGAGATACACCGCTAAAACATCAAATTACCGCAAGGTGTATCGAGAGGGATACACGTGGCCTGTGGTGACAGTGGTCGGTGTATCGCTAGCGATACACGTGGCAGTCAAAGTGTTAAATCAATGAATTTGTGTATCCTTTGTATTCTGAAACTTAATGAACAGTAATTATTGCATTAATGCCAACGTCATCAATTAATCAATATAGATCATTGAAGTAACGAACTACAGTTAATTACTCAATGAGCAAGCTTCATTTTATTAATGTATGAGTTCATTAATTATTGATGAAAAAGTGAACATTATCAACTCAACGATTATGCTACATTATATTAATGAATGATTTCATCAATATAAGGAATATGATATCAAGTATAAAGTGTTCATTGTATTAATGTACAAGGTTCATAAAACCAATAAATTTGTCATTAAATGGTACCCTACTACTTTGCAGAAAGCGGCAAAAAAAACAAGTGTCTTATGGATTGTGTAGTGATTTCTTTTAACGTTGAGGCGTCGAATGATATATGTGTGCGTGGTGTGGTGATTTATTTTAACGTCAAAACGTCGAATAGTGCGTTGTCATTTTAAAGGTAAGAAATAAATATTCCCCTTAATAATAAACTAATGTTCGAAAAGTATCTTTTAGGGAAAGTAAATGAAAAATATGCCGTTAAAGAACGTATTTTTGTTAGTATACCCTGAAAATTTTGTACAAATCAAATAAACAGTAACGAAGATACAGCGATTTAAAGTCAAACACTTTTCAGCAAAATAATAAATAGGGGCCATTTTTACTGACTTTAAACCGCTGTATCTTCGTTTGATTTCTACAAAATATTCAGGGTATACTAACAAAAATACGGTCTTTAACAGCATAACTGTAACTTCAAAACGTCTTATTAATCTTTAAGAAAAGTTGAATAAAAATACTTCAACTTATATCTCAGTTTACGTGTTTGAGGGTTTTTTGAGAAAATATTTTTAAAGCCCATTTTTTTAATATTAAAAAAACGTTCGAAATATAACTATTAGTTTAGATTTTTTTTACAGTTGTCTCAATCATTATGGCCAATACTGTATGTGTTTTTTATTTTTTGTTTGGACAAAAACGTGTTTTGCTTGGGAGCCAATATCAAAATTTTTTTTATTTTTACAAGAGTATTAAAGGGAAAGGGTATTCAAAAATAGTTGCCTACTATTATATCCGGTAATTTTTTTTAATTAGACAGCTCTCATTTTCTTACACGTTTAAAAATTTAAACACATTTCTGAAACTATATTAGTATGAGATTTTTAAGTTTCACAAATAAATCGTTATTTTTAATAAAAATGTTAAATTAAGTTTACAAACTTTATAATTCATATATTTAAAATTTATATTTATATTAATTTAAAATTCCAATCTAGAATAAAACAAAATAATTTTTATTTAAAAAAAATTAAGAAATGTTAAGATGTTTGTGTTATCACTTCTCCAACTTCGAGAGTATTACAATTACATACATAAATATTGTGCTGTACCTTGGGCCGGCCATGCCTACAGACATATCGGTATTTTCATTTCGCGCTTAGAAACCCGTTGTCATTGAAGGGCAAAACTAGACAAAACAATAACCAAAACAAGTGCTGTAAGGGCCAATGTGGGGGATTGGACCTACCTTAATTTTTTCTCTGTAGTGATGATCTTTGTTTTCTTCTTTTTTGTTGTCGACTGTATTGATGCGTGGTTCTGTTGATTTACCCTCCCACACAGGGTTGATGGGTCGTAAGTCAAAGGCTTCTCCGTTGACCGATACACATAAACTTGGACAAACACTGGCCGGCCGGCGAAACAAAAAACACGAGACCTTGTTGCTTTAAAGTTCATATTGATAATGATACCGGTGTTTTTAATTTGGCGTCGGTGCAAGCATTCTGTTTTTTGTGGTCTTGAAATATTAAATATTTAACACTTTAACTGCCACGCTGATTTGGAAAAAAAAATGTACCGGGTCACGTGGGCCAAAATATTTTTTTTAGCCTCAAGCACTTTATTTGTGTTTGTTTTAAGTAAAAGTCGTAAAAGAAAATGTGTTTTTTGTTTTTTTTTTTTGTAAAAAATGCTGTGTCCACATATTGTACACATAGCTTAGCATTGCGATATTTTTACTAATGCCAAGTCACTGGCCATGCGTACAATATATGGACACTCAAGGACAAATGACGTCGAATATAATTTCGAGCGGAGCGTACGCAGCGGCTGCGTCGCAGCCATGATACAAAGAGGTACGCAACGAAGGTCTTCGTTTTAGTTCATTTTAGTTTGTTGTGGACTGCCGAAGGCAAGGTATATAAGGTCGGCTTCGCTATTTGCAATTCAAAACCGTTATTATGGCGCGCGATAGAAGAGCACTAACTTCTTTTGAGTTGCAAGTAGAGGCAGAACAAGCAGCCGATGAGTTACATAATTATGAAAACATGAGTGATGATTTTTCTGATTATTCAAACTCAGATTTGGACCCTACGTATGAACAAACAGATGCCACATGCTCGAGTGAATCTGATAACGAACCGTTAGCGAATAAAAGGAAAATTTCTATGAAAGGTTTGAATACCAAAAGCTAAATAAAATATTCGTTTTTTATCTGTTCTTAATTTTAGAAAACGTAAAACCCACAGCGGATGTACGAAAAACTAATACCTCTGCAGGTCCATCTCGTGATATTTCAGTTTTTGACTCTATATATGAATATACAGATGCAGCGTGCACAAGTAAATCCGACTATGACCCGTTAGCCAGCGAACAGAACATTTCCATGAAAGGTTTGTTCATCAAAAACTGAATAAAATATTAGTTTGCGTATCTATTTCCTTTATTTTAGGAAAAATAAAAAACCCAATAAATATACCGAAAAATACTACATCTGCAGGTCCGTCTTGTGAACAGTTACCTCAAGCAATGGAGGATGAATCAGATAGCTCTTTGACACAGGATAGTGACTTCTTGACAGATACAGCCCAGCCAAAAGAAAACGCTTTACAAGACTCAAATTGGGGACCAGTTACAGGAAATTTTGCGACTTTTGAACTTCCTCACAATCTTGGCATTCCTGGAGATTTGAGAAACAAAATGGCAGGTCAAAATGAATTGTCATTCTTTGAAATGTTTGTCTCTGAAGATGTTATAAATATGATTGTGACTCAAACAAATATATATGCAGAGTAAAAAATTATTAGTGGAATAGTAAACGAAACAATTACTAAAGAGTCACGTTTAAATTCATGGAAAGAGACTAACTACAATGAAATTCGTACGTTCATAGCGTTTCTTATTTGGATGGGACTCGACTCAAAGCCATCATTACCTGATTACTGGCGCAGAATTCCATTATATAAGAGTGACATTTCTTAATATATGCCCCGAAATCGATTCGAATTGCTCCTACGAATGTTTCACTTAGCAAACAATGACGAGTGTCCTGAAAATGACAGACTCCATAAGGTTCAAAGCTAATTTTCATCGTTGTATGGTTCCAGAGTCATCTGTCTGCATTGATGAGACGATGATCCCGTTTAGAGGCAAGCTGTCCTTTAGACAGTACATAAAAGGAAAACGTCACAAATTTGGAATAAAACTTTTTAAAATTTGTTTGCCGGGGGGCTATACAAATAAAATAAAAATATATTGCGGTAAAGAAAAAATTAATGGACAACCGGTTGCGGAAACGGTAGTTATGGAAATGATTGAACCCTTACTGGATGAAGGAAGAACACTTGTAACGGATAACTGGTATACATCAGTTAACTTAGCTGAAATTTTGCAAACGAAATCCACTCATCTTATAGGAACATTGCGCAAAAATCGAAAAAATCTCCCCAAAGATGTCGTGGGGGCCAAACTCAAGAAGGGAGAGATCGTCGCCAAACAAAATAAAAATAAAGTGGTAGTTATGAAATGGCAAGACAAAAGAGAGGTGCTTTTTTTGTCGACAAAACATAAAGATAATATGATAGAGGTAACGCATAGAGAAGGCCCCAAAAAAAAGCCATCCGCGATTATCGAGTATAATAACGCCTAATCATTTGTGGATACGTCAGACCAGAGAACAGCTTACTCTAACTCATTACGAAAGTCCGTCAAATGGTACAGGAAATTGGCATTTGAGTTGATAACTGGCACTTCAGTGGTAAATTCTTTAATTATTTTTAATTCAATCAATCAAAGGAAAATGTCAGTTACACAATTCAAAGAGAATGTGTGCCTACAGCTTCTACAGACTAGAAACCCATCCCTTCCCGTACAAGTTCAGCAAAAACATGAACTTACTCAAAATGAGAAAATATATATACGAAGTTGTGCGTGTCGGTTGTGTTCTAAGTGCTCCGATATACGCTTCTTATATTACGAGTTTTATTATCTTTTAAAACTAAGAACTTAATAAAAATGTTTGTAAGAAACTGGCTTACGAGATTATGTGTGAAGATTGTTAGGAATGACACTAGTAAGTGATATTTGAAGAATTAAATTTGTTATATTTAGTGTATTAACTAAATTGGACAATACAAAAAGTGTAAATAAAAACAATTTATAAAAACTACCTAAAAAGTCAAAAATAAAAGAGATCTCTCGCAGTGGGATTCGAACTCGTGCGATCGCGGTGCGCCGCGGAGTGCTTACGGGTGTGCCGGTCGATTGCTGACTCGACCGCGGGCGACTTTGCTTTTAATTGTTTATTGCAGTTTAAATCATGTCTAATGAAGAATCTAATAATAAACCTTGCAAAAGGTGTCAAAGAGTACCTAGTGCCTTTGTAAAATGTACTACATGCAAATCAATAATGCATCCCAGTTGTGCAAAAATATTTAAAGGTGTTAAAATCTTAAATGATAAGGAAATCATATGTTGTGAGGGGGTTGTAAATCCACCACAAAACATTCAATTGGAAAATATTCCCAATACTGTTACAGTAGGCGGTGAAACGTCACATACCGTCACTGATGATCCATTAATTATAGAAAATTACTACATAAAGGAATTGCTCAAACAAAAAGATTTAGTAATTGATAATCAAAACATCACCATTAAATCTTTAAGCGATCAAATTAATTTAATTAATTCTGTAAATATTAAAAATAAAAATTCCACAACTGAAAAAAAACTATTATCAAAAACAACTTGGACAATAAAAAAACCAAAGTCAAAGAAATTTCTGCTCAAGATGTATCTCCACCACTATTAGAAGCTACAACAAAAAGTATATTAAATAAATATATTAATAAAAATAACCCCACAAGTTCTGATTCCAATGGTTCTAAACCTAGTGAATCCAAACCTAGTACTTCAAAACCTAATAATTCCGAATGGACAGATGTCGTTTCAAAAACAAACAAAAGAACAAATAAGACAGAAGTTGTAGGAAACATGAAAGATCTTACCAGTTGTACATTAAGGGTTATACCAAAAAAAGCATTTATATATGTGTCAAGATTGGACCCCAAAACACAAAGTATAGATCTTGTAAATCATTTAAAAGATAGTGTTCCGGAAATATCATGTGATGTCATCAAGTCAAAATTTCCGGAGCATTATTCCTCGTTTAAATTAACAGTAAACTTATGTAATTACAAAAAAACTATGAACCCAGAACTGTGGCCCCAGGGAACTTATTTAACACGGTTTTTTCACCCAAAGACCATAAAAAAAAAACCCCCACATAAAGTCCATAAACAATAATTTAAATTCCAAAACTAAAAGTAAAAATAAAAATTAAAAGATAACAATATATTATCAAAATGTTCGAGGGCTAAGAACAAAACTAACAGAATTATATAAAAATGTAGCAGCTTCAAATTTTGATGTTATCTGTCTTACTGAGACTTGGTTAAACGCTGATACTCACACTGAGGAACTAAATCTAACATCATATAATATTTATAGAAAAGATAGAAATGGATCTACCAGCAGATTCCAACGTGGAGGAGGAGTTCTTATCGCCGTCAAGAAGTCATTTCTGTCAAGTTGTGTTAATGTCCAAGAAATAAATGTAGAGCAACTGTTTGTGCAAGTCAAAATTAACAGTGAAAAGTTTTTAATCGGTACTGTGTATATACCACCACAATCTCCTTCGGAGGTGTATGAGTCACATTGTTCAAGTATTGAAAACATTGTGGACGGACTAGATAGTGAGGTTACAACTATTTTTTGTGGCGATTACAATCTGGCAAATATTGTGTGGATTAACGAAGATCTCGGAGTTCGCGCTTCAGGTCTTCTAACAGAAAGTTGTACATTTTTGTCTGATTGTTTTGCTCATTGTAATCATTACCAAATTAATAATGTAAGAAATATTTATGATAAATTGCTAGATCTTGTTTTTTCTAATGATTGTAACATTACTGTAGAGCCAGTCAATGATGTTTTACTGCCATGCGATTATTACCATCCGGCTATCTGCTTGCAAAAAGATATCACAGGTAATAAAAAAGAAATGGAGTTTGAGCATTATTACTATGACTTTAAAAGTGCAGATTATAACTCTTTAAATTACCACTTAAGTAATATAATATAATATAATAAATTGGAATTTAATATTTTCTAGTCAAAATGTAAATGTGTGTGTAAATTCGTTTTATGAAATTTTAGAATATTTATATACATTATATGTACCTATGAAAAAAACTTTAAATCATAAATTTCCCTTATGGTTTACACAAGAGCTTAAAAATCTTATTATACAAAAAAAAATTGCTCATAAAACGTATAAGCAACTCCCTAGTCAGAATAATTTTAACATGTTTAGCCGCCTAAGAAATCAGTGTAAAAATCTTACGGAAAGTTGTTTTAAAAATTACATCGGTTCATTAGAAAACAACATTAATTCTAACCCAAAATTTTTTTGGACTTATATTAATAATAGAAAAATGAGTAACTCCATGCGCAGTAAAATGGTGTATAATAATACAGAGTCTGATAATCCTAAAGAAATAGTTGAATTTTTTTCTGATCTTTTTAGCTCTGTCTATGTAAATAAATGCGCAATAAATGTACCTGATTTTAATTACTCTAACTCGATAAATTTAAGTAGCTGTGATATTAATGAATGTGATGTTTTTAATGAATTGTGGCGTTTAAATGTAAATAAAGGTGCGGGACCAGATGGTGTTCCCCCATTACTTTTAAAAAATTGTAGATTTTCATTGACTAAACCCCTAACTGAGACATACAATTTATCAATTAATAATGGCGAGTTTCCAGAGTTGTGGAAAGAAAGTTATATTGTCCCTTTGTTAAAAAATGGAGAAAGAAGCAATGTAAAGAATTATCGCCCTATTTCAAAAATTTCGCAAATATCCAAAGTTATGGAAAAACTTATAACAAATAAAATAACACCTTTGTTTAAAAATATTTTAATAAACGAGCAACATGGGTTTAATAAAGGCAAGTCTACGTCCACAAATCTACTTGTTTATGAACAAGATTTGTTAAATGTCTTGGAGAAACGAAGCCAGGTGGATTCTATCTATACTGACTTCTCCAAGGCATTTGACACAGTAAACCATCAAATTTTGCTTGCAAAAATGAAGGCTTTGGGCGTATCGGGAAACTTTTACTGTTGGCTAGAGAGTTACATAACCTCAAGAAAACAAACAATTATTTTACAAAATCAATATAAGTCTGAGAAAATTCATGTTACTTCAAGTGTACCACAAGGAGGGCATATTTCCCCTCTCTTATTTAACTTGTTCATAAATGATATAGGCAATGGTGTTAAATTTTGTAAATATCTTTTATTTGCCGATGATCTTAAATTATACAAAGAAGTAAATTCCTTAAGAGACTGCTTGGATATTCAATCAGATTTAAATCAAATTCAAATGTGGTGTGATACAAATGAAATGAAATTAAATGTAGATAAATGTAAATATATTAGTTTTTATAGAAACATGAATCCTGTGATATATCCGTACTCATTAAATAATATAATTTTAGAAAACGTTCATGTCATAAAAGACTTAGGTGTTTACTTTGATAAAAAAGTGACATTTGGCTACCATGTTGATTTTATTGTGAATAAGGCTTTTAAAATGCTGGGATTTGTTAGAAGAAGTATGAAAGATTTTAATGTTCAATGTGTTAAAACTGTTTATATGTCCTACGTACGTAGCATTTTAGAATATTGTTGTGTAATTTGGTCTCCTTTCTATGTTAATTCTTCCATAAAAATTGAAAAAGTCCAAAACTAATTTTTGCGATTTTGTGGATTTAAATTAAGTATTGAGTGTAAATATAGTTTAGACTTAGTAAGAAATGCAATTTAACTGAATTTACTAAGTCGTAGGAGAACAGAAATAGGTGTTGTTTTTTTATTTAAATTGCTCAATAACTATATCAACTGCCCCGACTTGTTAGGGCAAATTAATTTTAATACCCCGATAAGACGTACGCGTAACACATTATTATTTCACATAAAAAAGTACAGAACAGAATATGCTAAATTCATGCCTATAACCAGAATATGCTTTGATGCAAACAATCTTGATTTGGACTTTTTTAATTGCTCATTGGACGTATTCAAGAAACAATGTAATTATAAAATTAATTGTTATCCATTCTAATTGTAGACATTTGAATGTATTTTTTTGTAAGTGGTTTAATACCGTCAATAAAGTTATTAAAATGCTCTAAACAAAAGAGGCAGATGCACGATTTGTTATAAAAAAAACTCCGAACTACACGGAAGAAATTATGCTGTTAAGAACACAAAACGAGGCATTTATGTATGTAATGGATGTGAAGGAAATCCATTTATGTGTTTAGACTGTTTCTTTGTCAACCATGTTTTCACAAAGAAAAATTGAAAAAAAATATAATCGATAATAACAGACGTTTTTAGTTACTTTTCGATTGAAAAATACGTTATTTTTGCTTATATGCACTCTGTAGTTTCCTAAAAAAAATGAAAAAATAAAAGTTTATTCCAAGTTTATTGTATTATTGGCCATGCCTCAAAAAACTAAAAAAAATCCAGGCCATTTTATTATAGTATAGTGCCACGCCAGACCCATCGATATTCCCATTTAAATACACAGCAGATGTGTACCAGCCACGCACACATGGCCGAGAATCTTTCTAATACATGTGTCCAATATAGGTACACATGGCAGAGAATTAAAATCTCCTGTGTCCATTTATGGTACATACGGCAGTTGGAGTGTTAAATGTGCATGTGCACGCCATCTGTCAAGTACTGTACAATTGATTTATTTAAGATGCAGGTATCGACATCCCGCCGCCCTTGAAAGATTGTACTTTCAAAAGAATAAATCCAGCTTATTAATTGCCTGATTCATCGTCTAATGGTAATATAAACAGTTTGGCCCAAGAACGTCTTAATACTCCATTCCTAGTTTGCACATCGGCTACACGTACGACTCCGTCTTGTCCCGGAAACACTTCTCGGATTCTACCTAGAGTCCACTGCATTGGTAGTACATGTTCCTCTTTTATCAGAACCATCATTCCAGGCCTTAACCCCTTGCCTTCTGATTTTTTCCACTTGGATCGGGTTTGTAGAGTACATAAATATTCATTCTTCCACCTTTTCCAGAAGTCTTGAATGCATTGTTGCATTTGTTGGTATATTGTTCAGTAAAGTCTCTTTCTGGTATGGCAATTAATTCGGATCCAATGAGGAAGTGACCAGGTGTGAGTGGATTTTAATCATTTAGGTCAGAGGATAATTATTTTGCGCGAACGTGTTACTCCGTCCTTTATATTAAAAGGCCCGGCGTAATCTTTTGCACACGTCAAAAAAGGTCGAGAAGGATTTACTCTCTTCTCGGGTAGATCGCCCATTAACGGTGTGATAGACTGAGGTTTAGCCTTAAAGCACGTGACACACCTTCGAACAATGTCTCGAACAGCATTTCTACCATTTATTATCCAATATTTTAATCGAATTGATGCTAATACGGAAAGTGTGTCGGCATGAAATAAGGTTTCATGCTCGTATCGTATAATCAATTTTGTTAAAGGATGTGACGAAGCTAGAAGAGCCTGATGTTTTTGTGCATAGGGAACCTTGGAATTGCGCAACCTACCGCCTACCCTTAAAATCCCATCCTCGTCTATAAACGGGTTCAAACAAAGTATAGAGGTAGAACTTTTGAGTACCTTATTATTTTTAAGAATATTGATTTTTGATCTAAAGGATTGCGATTGCGCTATTAAAGTTAATTTATTGGTTGCATTTGCAAGTTCCAGAGCTGATAATTCCCCAAGAAATCTAGATTTTGGGTTTTTCAGATTATGAATAAATCGCAAACAATAAGCCGTGACAAAAATCTGCCAATCAAACTGCACTCTGATGGAATGTTATTAGCAATTAAGGTTACGTTATTGCGTGACTCAGGTAAGTCATTTAACACAGGGACCCTCAACGTAGGCCATTCATTTTGATCGTGTTTTAACCAGTTTGGACCATTGAACCAAATGGACGACTCAAACAAATCCCTTGTATTAGACCCTCTAGATATTATATCAGCTGGATTGTCAATGGATGGAACATGTTTAAAATTATCAGATTTTGCTATAGATTGAATTTCAGATATGTGATTTTCAACGAATGTTTTCCAAACACTGGGCTCTGATGCCAACCACGAGAGTACATATATATTTGAATTCGATATTTCAATTTTGAGTGAATTTATAACTTGATTCATTTATCTGGAAAGTAAAAGAAATGCGCAAAGCTCTAATCGAGGTAAACTAATCATCTTTAGCGGAGCTACTTTTGATTTAGCACATAAAAGGTTAACGTGAATTTTATCAGATGTGTCAATGATTCTGATATAAATGCAGGATCCGTAGGCCTTTTCGGACGCGTCGCAAAATCCGTGAACTTGTAAGTGTTTTATATTTGGGCAAAAGGCTTGTCTAGATAATTGAAACTTGTTTAGTTCCATACAATCACACTGAAAATTATTAAAGGCAATTTTAATGTTATTTGAACCTCGTCGTCCCAAGAGACGCCAGATTTCCATAAATCTTGTAATATCAACTTTGCGCGTATAATTATAGGGCACTCTTGATAAAATTAATCGTTTAGTGATATAGGACCTCATTTTTGTAAAATTTATATATGTACACATAATAAGTATAATTCATAATATATAATTTTTACTAAAGATCAAAATAAACTGCAAGATGGATAAATTTATGAAAAACGATCGTTCTTTCATGGAAGGTAAACATTCCTACAGTTCATGCTTTGCACAAAACCTGCCTTTCTTAATGCCTACGTCTGAAAATACTGAAAATATGGACTTCACTGAACTAATGGATTCGAAGGAACAAAATCGGTAAACTGATATTTCTTATCAAACACACACCTTCACTTTGCCACAAACATCAGAAAACACTCATATCGTATCACCTAAACCGGCGAGAATCCATTGGATTACCGTTTGGGCTCACTCCACAACCATTATTCTTCTATAATAATCCGCCATCCCCAACTTCCTCTTCCGGAACATTCAGAGCGAATACTCCACCAAGTCGTTTCACGCCGTATGAAAGATCTTCGACTCCCGATGATACACAGAACTCCAATAATGATACTATACAATTAAGTATCATTTTAGATGAAACTTCAAGAGGAAACATACTCGTTCATTATTACAACAAATTTTCCATGTTTCAAGAAGAACAAAGGTCTTCACTGATTTCACTTGTTGCGTTCTATTTTGAAGAAAAGGGAATAAAAATGACGCTAAGTTCTAGTCATCAAATGGAACGACAAATTTTGGAAAGATTTCCGACAGAAAAAATTGGTAAGTCTGTTTTAAATTATAATGCAAAAAGAATTTAGTACGCAGGAAAAATAAATTAATGTAAAATGATTTTTTAGATTTTTGTTAAAAGATGCTTACTGAATTAATAATTTTGTTACAGGAGTATTATCGAACCAGTAAAAAAAGGAAAATTTACACCAAATTTTGTAATTTAACTACATCATTTAAAGCAGCAGTTTCCAAACATGTATCTGAAGAAAAAAAACAAGAAAGAGAACAAAACAAGACTAGGCATGAAAGAGATTTAGGTAAAAGCAAATTGGGTAATAATAAACTGATGAAATAATAAATGTTCAATAAAAAATAATAATTGTTTAGTAAAATAATACATTATTCACAGTAAAAAAGTACAAATGTCAAGTAGTAAAAATTAAAAGCGCTTTTGCATTTTAGGTTTTAATATGTTTTGTTTTTTAGCAATATAAATGATAATATTATAATATTATCATTTAGATTGCTAAAAAACAAAACATATTATAACCTAAAAACTATAGTAAAAATATGTAACAAATGTAAACATTTAACTAAGCAACCAAACCAACTCCCCTACTTAACCCAACCAACTAACTAACCAACCCCCAAACAACACACACACTTTTTAACAAAGTAATATGTTAATATGTAAAATTTAAATTTTATAAATTTTGAGATTTTTAAATTTTTTTGGAAAATCTGAAAATTTTGGTCATTTTAAAAATTTCGAAAATTTTAAAAAGTTTATTATTTTTCTACATCTATTACATTTACTAGACGATTAATATTTTTCTGAACATTTATTAATCTTTACTCTACATTTATTATCTTACTGAACTTATATTAAATTTACTTAACATTTATTATTTTCACTGAACATATACATACATATGTGCATTTAATTTGTTCTCAATTTGTATTACCACATAAGTAAATCTACAATGTCACAACATATTATCCAGGAGATAGTTAGATCAAATAAGAACAATATTAAATTACATAATTTTATTTTGGGTTAACTTGTTGTTTACAGAACCAGAAGAGGATGCTGAAAGCTGCCTTCGGGCACTTAAATTCGATAATTTGACAGCAGAGCAATTTGATAACACTTGGAAAGCCAATTCCGGCTTCAGTTTATAAAGTCCAACAATACAGCCGAAGTAATGAAAAAATGGCCATTTTACAAAAATCCTTCGGGATATCGACAGGTAAAGCTATTAGAAAAATTTTGTTCTATTTCACAACCCATTCTTTTTTTTTAGATCGACATGGATTTTAAAGCGTGCTAAAATGTGGACAAAATTATTTCTTTTTTAATGGGTGACAACCGCATAAAAGATCGGACTATAAAACAAATGGTGGATAGGCTGAATGATAATACTAGGCCAGGCACTGAAAGTAAGTGTACCTATTAAGCATTTTTTACTTTTTTATTTGTAAGCTAGCAAAGAAATTGTTGAATTCCATTAGCATACAATTATTCTATATTGAGGCTCTCTTTTTTTACAGATGGTCGTAATGCAGCTATATTTTGGGCTTTACATGGGTACCTCGAACCCAGCAATAAAGTTGTCAGGAAAGACCTGACTACCGGAAAAAAAATCGTAAAAAAATTTACTATTATAGATGCACAGGAATCGGTGATTTTTGTTGGGAAGAATCAACAAGACATTGAAGACAAAATTAATCATTTAAAAAAAACTAGAACTTCAATCCAGCCCTCCATATATTGCATTGGGCCAGATATATTTTCAATCAAAGAGATATTCATAAATTTTGATGACATAAGATATAAATTTACAAATGTTTTGAAAGCTTTAGATATTTGCTTCAAAATCATATATTTATTTGATCTCAAATTTCCCACTGAATCGGAAATGTTTTATTTCTTTATTGAAACTTATTTTTTTGAATTAAAATCTTCCAAGAATAATTCAAAAGTTCACATTTTGTGTGAGTATTTGTCACAGAAATCTGCAGAATAAAAAAATATTCTAAAACATCTTTGTTTTTTTATAATACCATTTTTTATAGAATTACACAGAATAAAAAATATTTTAAACATCTTTGTTAAAGGGGGCGCATGTTAAGAAAATTTAAAAGAAAGTGTATAAGTATTTAAACTTGCAGTTCTGTGTAAAAGTATTTATTGTTTAAAACAAACCTTTATAAACTCTACTTAACTCGCATAAAAAATTTTTACTCCCACACACACTATCGGTTTGTCATGATACCTAGGTAAGCTTATCCTTTTTTTTTAATTTTCGTGTTTAATTCTTAGCCCACCTTAATGGTTGTAACAAAATGAAAATGTATGATCTACAGACCAAGGAATCCCTGAAAATTGTACTTTTATTATTTAAGCATACAGGGAATACATATATTTTTTTAATTACAACATTTTGTTAATAATAAATCATCATGACAACAAACAACAATATTAGAAAGTGTCAAAATGAATTGACTAAATTCGTTACTCTAGACAGAAGATAATGTCCCTTAAAGTAACGAATTTGGTCAATTCGTTTGGACACTTTCTTATATTGTTGTTTGTTGTCATGTTGATTAAGATTTAAACTATCACTTTATTATTAGAGAATGTTGCCTCTTCAAGAAAAGATGTATCCTCTTTATCTTTTTAAATAATAAAGGTCGAATTTTTTGAATAATTTTCTAGGATTCCTTGGGGTTTGTAGTAATACTCTTTTGTTGCCACCATTGTGAGAATTTTCACAATTAGTCAGTATTAATGATACTTTTCATTAATATTCAAATCTCCCATACATTATTATAATGAAAAAAAGTTATTAAATAGATGAATCCATTCATTATTCACACTAGATTTTCTACATTAAATCAATGAAATCTATTCATTGGAACAATGAATGTATTCGTTAAAGCAACGAATCTGTGTTTATTAAATTAATGTTTAAAATTCATTGAAACAATGAATGCTTTCGTTGAAGCAACAAATTACATTACCATTATGTCAATGAAAAAAAGTTATTAAATAGATGAATCCATTTATTAATCACACTAGATTTTCTACATTAAATCAATGAAATCTATTCATTGGAACAATGAATGTATTCGTTAAAGCAACGATTCTGTGTTTATTAAATTAATGTCAATTAAATTATTTTTCAATTCAATTATAAGAGTTCATCAAAATGATGAAATTTAATTCATACTTTAAATGTATGACTTTTCATTATATTGATGAATTAATAACACCATTCATTGAACATTTTCATTGTGTTTATATCCACTTTTGGTTCAGTGTCTCATTAAAAGTTCTTACAGTTCTTTCCAAAATTTTGCCACACTCGCCATATGTATAAAACATATTAAGAATATCACGATAAGTATAAGTATTGTTATCAGCCATCATAAGACAATTAGCTATCTGTCAGTTTACATTTACTTATTTGTCAAATATGACATATAAAATCATCCAAAGCACACTTGTGACAAGTGTCAAATTTTTTTGTAAAAATTAAATATCTCAAAAACAAATCAAGATAGGAAAACGATTCAAAATGCAACTGCTTCAGAATTTTACGTAGAATTCTAAAATGCAATAATATTTATACGGTTCCATTTGAAAAAACACACTTCCGTTTAAACCACGAGTGACAGGGCATTAAAAATATTTTAGAAAAATATTACTTTATATAAAACATTATGTTTTAGTTTTTAATAATATACATATATTGTAGGTAAAATTTTGACAAATTTATATTATAATAATATTAATTTTATTTAAAAAAAAATATATATATTTTAGGTTTAATTATATATTTAAATTAATTTTGTATATTCTAGATTATTATTAAAATTATTTTTTTTAATGTTTTGTTTATTTGTAATAAATTTATTTAAAAATTTACTTACCTTTTTAACTTATACACATACCTACCATAGAAGCTAAATAAAATTTAGAAAAATAAAAATGATGAGGTGAGTTTTAAAATGATATAATCAAACAAGTTTTTTTTTAAACTTAAATATTTTATTATTTTTTAATATAATTTTTTATATAATTACATTTAAATTATTTACATTATTAACAGCTACCTAATTAAATATAAAATCTATTACCTATTACCTAATTAAATATAAAATCTATTACTATCTAAAGTTTCATTTAACTTACGTCCTATATTGTTATATATAAAATAATCGAATTTATATACCAATTCAAGCCAAATCATATGGTTACTATATCTTGGTTTGGCTTCTATAAAAGATTTGAACATGTTTGTGTTGTAAAAATGTCTATCATCACGGCAGATCTCAACGATTATGTCACCTAAGATTGAATTAAACGATTCCTCTAGACGTAATTCTTCATATTCTTCGACAATATTACTGTGGAAGGATTTTAACTTCAATAGATTATCCAGAGTTGATTTTTGAACAATATCATAATTTCCAGATGATTTTTCTGTCATTTTCACATTATTGGCCGGCATCGTTTTTATCACATAGTTTGAAACCTCGAACTCTTCTCCATTATTGGTATTTTAAATTCGTTGTTGTTGAAAGTGATGGCGTTGTATTCCTTGCCTACTTTACATAGTTTTACACATATAGAAAAATTACTATATGGATTCATACCCACTATGTACTAACAAATGTTTGATAGCGTTACTGGGATTCGGACCCCTTTTAAAAGGTTATTTTTCTCATAATCCAATTCATGTATTGTTTGTTTAGATGCTAATGTATTTTGCGAGTAGTCACAGATTTTATTTAGATACAATTATTTCTGTATTCTGAAATAAAATAAATAATATATAATATAATAAAATAATAAATATATATAAAAATAATGTAATAATAAAAAGATGTGTTAATTTCATTATATAATAATTGCTGCTAATTGTACCATAAAATTAAAAAAAAACAGAAAATTTGATGTTAATCAAACTTTGACCTCGAATATCTCTAGAAGAAATTAATTTATCGAAAAATAATAAGAGACCTTTTTTGTAGAGCGTTAC